TTACCTAGAGAATAAAAAGAAATTGTAAAGCTGTACGTACGTTATGTTCATGTTTCCATATTTCAATGTGCAGCATCAATGAGTTTATTCGAATTAATAAATCTGCCCCGGGTGTAAACTAGAATAATTCAATATGTGTTGACGTTTTCAAAAATATCAGACGACGAATACGAAATCTTAATCGCGACGCCGCTAAATACGTCCGTTACTATGTTCTTCGTATTCTTTAATTCATTCTCCCCAGGAGCAATGATCTCCGATGTCTATGACATTCTTTATAAATAATTAAATATTCTACGTGGCTATTTTGAGAATACTGTCCTAGAATATCGAGACAAAATCTACATGTCTCAGTTATCCGCCAGTCGTCCTTAAAATTTTCAATCCCATCACTAACCACCATCAACGATAACGAAAAGCAACGCGCGTAAATACGATAAAAATCACAGTGTAACGCATAGAATTTAAACTTTGCATATATGTGGAACAAAGAATTAAAAATATCTGGCGGAAGTTTAAAATAATTATCATCATGATTTTTGGGGGGTGTACAAAATTATGTAAATTAAGTGAGCTTGAATTTAAGAGGGCTAATAATATATATCTTCCCTCTACTGTGTTTTTATGCAACAATGCGTCTCCAAAGTACAATTGCAATTTTTTTAAATAATGCAACCGTACGTAACCGTGTAAAACCACATGTATTTTATGGTATTACTCGCATGTACAAAATTTTAAGGAGATACAGTTGAACGTGTGTGTATCGTTTTTGATATCGTCCCTCTTAATTTCAATTTTTAAAAATTGTAATTTTTAGTATCAAATGTAAGATACATTGCTGACAAGTATGGAATCTGAAACGTGTTTCGTGAGTTTAGCGTTAGTAATTTCCGTTTCGAAAGATAAAACACGCGGAATAGGGGGTTAAAGTATAATACTAGCAACGTTGAAAGGCATCTTCCCCGAGTGGATCATCGCGAGGGCATCGAAAAGGGTATTCGATGCCAATCCAACAGCACCTACACTCGAATGTACACATGACCAATCATTTTACACTCGCGTTGTATGCAATCGTTTTGCATCTGGACACGTGGTAACGTTCAGTGCGTCGTTCTGTGTTATTGCATCTGATTCAGCACAACCACAAAATTTTTACGGAGCCTCCTATAACGTAAATGGATGACGTGTCATTGAAACCGTTCCCACGTACAAAAAGATCTTTAATACCAAATACGAGCACGAACGAGACACGAAATTGACCGACGATGTTTCATTTTAACACATCAGACTAACAGGTACAATGTTCAACCATATTTTAAAGGGATCGAGGCGAAGAATTAAAAATAAATCATTTTCCATCTTCCACACTTTTCGTACTTCGCCTCTCTGATTAATTCTGCTCCCTTAGTTTGATCTCTCTCTTTTAACTCTTCATTTTACGACTCTCAGACTTGAGTTCCATTCGTAACTCTTCAATTCTCGGGCACTAATTGGACTCTTCTATCATTCGCAACTCAGTCATTGTAACACGCAGACATTCACGTAGGTTTATCGTTTCGCGTTAATTCTTTTTTTTCTTCATAAAAAGATTCTTTCAATTCGTTTCAATAAATTACCACTTCAGACACATCCCATTACTTCGCGCAGCGCGATCTAGCGCGCCCTATCGAAGACCTTATTTTTATAATTGGCAACAGAAATTTAACAATGCTTGATATTTACCGATGACTGAGTTTGAACTATAGTTCTGCGTACCAACATTACAATGCAATTTTAAAGCACTCGGTCGAAAGTGGTACGAACTCGAGGGATTAAGACACCATTTTAATTTGAATGTAAGGAGACAACATGGCGCTTGATTCGACGATATAGTTGCCAACCGGAAGAATACGGTAGCGAGTCCGTGACGCGTTCACGACGAACTCGCGAAGCGGTTATTTACGTCGGCAAAGGATTAAGGTTAACGAAGGGTGAGATTAGGTTTAACGAAACGTCCTTGAAACGTCGAAGCGGAGAAGCCGTCTTCCCCGGCTGGTAAATTAAGCGACCGCCATCGTGGCCGAGAAACACGGTCGAGTTTCTCCATCGCGTTTTCGCGTAGAACGAGAGATCCCGTTGGACGGAGTTTCCGCATCGAGAACCCACCCCCCGCACCACCACCACCCCCGCGAAATTCCACGCGAACGTTATCCACGCGAAGCCCAAAGTCTCCACCCCAGGACGGGTCCGTGCATCGCGCGAATCCTTACATGCAAAATCCGGAGTGGCGATCAATGGGTGGCGCGCCGCGATGAGATTGGGGCTGATGGGCAGAACAGCCGGGGTGAACCTCGGCCACGGCATTCAACGGGGCTAACTCTATCCCGGCAAATTACATTTCCATCCCCCTACGTGATAGGTGCAGCAAACATGCCCGTCAACGTCCGACCGAGTTTCTCCCTGATTAGTTACACTCGACGCGGATTATATTTCCGAAACGATTAATTAACAAACTTTCACGGGGTCACGTATGACCGTCGCTGAACCAGTTCTACGCGACATACAGTATTACGCGGTCGAAGGAAACGGGGCTCGATTTTTTTTAACTGAATTTTCATAACTGAAAGACATACACTATTCGTTGTACCTAAAAGCTACGATAAAAGAACACTTGATACATCGACCATGTACGAAACTAATTTGAATATTGACAACGATGTAATAAATGACTGTGGTGAGAAAAGAGTACTATATGCATAACTATTTGCATTTCTTTTAAATAATTTTATCCCTGTTCACTACTAATTTTTACGACGAAGAGGGGTTTATGATATTTTTGCCTACTGGTGGTGATGCAAACGCTACTCTGCGCGAGGGAGTATATTTTGTAACGAATTGCAGTGGAATGTTGCTAAACAGAAACTTTCGTCGTGGAAATGGATTTGTTTCGTAGAGCCGTATAAGTCTGCTTCGTTCACGGATTTAAAATGAAAATTTACCGTGGAATTCTAGTATAAAATTTGGCATACTTTCTTTATGTAAATTAAATTTTTAATTTGGATTCAAATCGATTCATGTAACTAATACCCCCCTCCTCGGTTCTATTATTACTATAGATTTAATATTGCATTGATTTCCTTTCGTTAATAATAAATAAACGTCGATAATGTCAATTAATACGTGCGAATTACCCGATGGCAATAAGCTCATAAAATTGATAATATTTATTTTTATACCACTTTTGTACATTCATATGTTCGTCGGTAAAATATTTTTACGAATCTCGAATACGTATTTGCCCGGAAAATATTTTATTAGTTTGGATGCGATCGGGCCGCGTTTATTTGAGCGAGTCGCGGCACAGGCTCTTCTGCTAGCATTGAAATCGACAAAAAAAAAATCAAGTTTTAAATATGGAGCTAAAACAGTCACACCTAGAGGACACGGGACACGAAACGAAAGTGTTGTCAAATATACAGCCGTGAAATATATCGTAAAATGAAACTGCGTTGCTACAAATGTAAAAATCTTGTTTACGATGCACACGATACGAAAGTAGAATTATTTGATGTACAGTATTACATCATTCAACAGCAACATCAAATCAATAAAACGTGGATGATTTTGAAATCCTTTGTAATATGTCTCTGATAAAAAATTTTGGTTTGTTCGAATGTTCCTTTGAACCATCAATTTTCAAATTTAGCATCGGATCTAAAATATTCTTGATGTTCACTTTGTATATCAGGCACGCCAAACACGCAACCCGATTTACTATTTAGATTCTGCGACTAGCTTGACCCTCTTATTATTTATTCAAAGTTCCAGTTTTTGGAGAACATTAATAATGTCATTTTTAATATTAGTCACAGTATCCAGTAACAAACTCCTAACTTCTTGCGAATAGTGCATATTTATCATTACATAAAAGTTGCATTTGGAGTCAAGCAATGAATAAAAATAATACACTCGTTAGTAAATTACCATCAATTTACATTTCACATATAAATTGCAATCCATAGATTTTTTAAATTGCAAGCTAGCGACGAAACCAGGAAAACTTAGTTTACGTATGAATTTGAAAGTTTATAATAAAATTTTTACAGCTATAAGGTCAGGCAGACTTCACTGGAACAACCAACGTGGCAATTTTTAGCCTCGCCAGGAAAGAAAAATATTTTAAGGGTAATTACTCCGCGCAAAGCCCGACCCGTCCGACCAACCGTACGTTCCTCTACTTGTTTCAACCATAAGTCGCGTTAAATTGTCCGACTCCGTCGCGTCCTTAATTTGGTGCGTCCCGTTGACGAGGGTCGCGGTCTCTAATCCTGGTTCCTTAACGCGAACGAATAGAAATTGCCGCGTCTAAGAAGGAATTAAAATGCGTGGGCGTTCGTAACGCGTCGGGGATTTCCCGCGTCGCCCGGCGCGAAAACACGCAAACTTGCCGCTTCGCTTCTCCCAGCGATGAATCGACAGTATTTCCCGTGCAACGTTCACGCGATTCACGAGTCACGTTCGCCTAACGATTCGTTTCACGAAAGCTGACGGCGATATCGAATCTATTTCTGCGTGGATTTCAGATTTCAGATTTCGGATCTCGTTCGCTCGTAACTCGACAACCATGTACAAAAGGTATTTTTGCCCGTTCGCGGTCGCATATTGCTCCCGGGTAAATAATGGAGGAACAAATGTCGTCCGTGATAAACTTGGCCGGCGGGCTGACCGAACGATAAACTCCTCCACTCGTTTACAACATATATACGAGCTGTCGGTTACAGTTTTACATCGACGGGGTACTGCCCTTCGAAATATTTCCTCGATAACCTGGATCGGCCGAAACGGGGATCGTTTAACTTCGCCGCGACCTAGAGGCCGGACGTTCCGTTCGTTACGCGTTAATTAACGCGTTCACTTGTTAATTAATTTTGTATACAAGGAGCATACTTTTGGGATCGACAGAATTCAAATTTTTCACTTCGACGATTATACGAAAAGAATAGTTTAAATTCTGCGCTCACCCAATGAAAAATCCGTTCGCACGGGTACAGCCTGGGCTGGCTGGTTGTTATCCTCGACGGTAGCGCCTCGTTACACATCCGATCGCGTCTGGATCGTTCTCCAAACTTGCGCCGGAGGATATAACTTCCTCTGCATCTCGAGAACGGTGTTCATCCCGTGTATTTCACCAAACGAGTCCCCTTTACCCTGGTCCCGGCTGTCCTCGTCCTGGCGTATCTCCGCGTTTCGAAACTTCCACGTCGCGGGACGTCACACGTGATCGACGATCTCTCGGTACCCCCGTCGAGACACCCGTTATCTCGTCTCGCGTCGGGACGGTCGCCGATCGGTTCTCGTACGCGAACGAGGGGGAGGCGGTGAAGGGACGAACCGGGGCAGGGGGGGAGGTCGCGGGCCAACGGGAACAGGCAAAACAAAGCGAAAGAGAGGGAGCGAAGTTGCACACGCGGTGGCCAGTCGCAGACTGAACTCGCGATCCGCGAGTAGCATCGATTTCGATGGAGGGGGAAAGGACTACGGGCTGAGCGGCAGGGAGGGGGGACGACGGCTAGGTCGCGGTGGGAGGGCGACGCAACGAGGGCGGAAGGGACGAGAGCGGATGAGGCACGACGAGAGGAGCAGTCGGTCTACGCGCGTATCTAACGGCCAAGCTGGACGATCCGAGCTTACTTTGCCCGCGAGAACTGCCACCCCTGCCCAGGGGCTGGCAAAGTTGTTACCATCGTAACAAATCTGCTACTTTGTGTATCGCTCGGATATATGTATATGCTCGGTATACGACGTTCAAAAGACTTGACTCGTTTTCACGTTACAGGCAAAGGAAAATGAGGCAGGCTGAACGTATCCTCGCGAAATTTGCGAAATTCTTCCCTTTAGTTTCTGTTTGTTCAAAATGATATGATAAACGAATCTTTGGGAACTCGATGCCCGTGAATTTAATTGTCGCGTCGATAGAAAGGTTCGGGAGAATATTTATTAGAAACATGATTAACCCTTAAGGATTAAGGGATTATTGGGGCTCAAACTAACAGTTATTTAATACGTGTCAATGTAATTAATTGAAAATTTATGGAGTAAGTAAAATAATTTGATTAAAATTGAGAGTCCACTTTATTGTGTGCCCACCCTTTGTGTGTTTTTTCTTTCAGTTACCTTCAACGATTTTTAATAGAATTTAGTAATGGAGGATAGGAAATTCTTTGGCATTTTTTTAAAGTTAGGTATGTTAGTCATCGTCCTTGAGTGCCCAAGAAATCCCCATGTCAAGGTTCAACGGTGAAGCTTATCGAGAAGGATGAGACAGAATCTCTTGGAAGGACGAATGCCTGGAGAACTCAGGGATTTTATTGTATGGAAGATTTATCTATTATTATATCTCGTAATAGTGCTGTATGCGTAGGATAGAAAGATCCCAAGAATTCCCTATTGACCCATAATATGAATATAGTTCATTTTTTAAAAAGTAAAGGTAAGTCACGGAAGTAGAATTTTTTTTTATATATTTTTAAACAACTGTTATATGCTGAATCTTTGATTTCTAGTCGCATAGCTACTACGAGAATAAGTGTGGTAGCATGAGAGGCTGTTAAGTATTGACTATAATTTAACATGAACATTATTGTATAAAAATTGTTTCAACAGTTTTTTTTTATTATTAAAATTTTTTGAAGTCCCAAAGTGTAAAACGACAAGCCAAAATATTCTGTACTCGTGGAAATGTATGGACATGACACATTTGTTTTATACAGCAGGAGTGGTCTACCAGAAAATCATGAAATTTTATATGCTGACATTGATGGTATTCTATTTTGAGAAATAAATCGATCTAGACTTTATCGTTATCTTCTAACGTTATTAATATATTTTATTCTATCATAATGAATGAGAAACGATAAATACTTCTACAAAGAAAACAGTGAAAAATTCTAAGTTCTATTCCCATATATTGCTTTCGAATGTTGTACGCGTTTGACAATGTCAAATAGAATGACTATAATTTTTAATATACTTAATACGTCGACTGCTATGTCACTCATATTCGAGTGATGTAGAGTCCACAGGTGATCATGTCATTCGTGGTCGAGTGACGTTCATATTTACCCGATTACGTATGACATTAGTACTTATTTATATCAGCGCGATAGGGCTAATAAATCGACGATAATTATGAAAATGATAAATATGATTGATCGAAAACGTTTAACGCGTCGACTGCCTCGTTAACCACTTCAGTACGAAAGTATAAATACAAATAAAAATAGAAGAACCATGCGTCAACTTTCGTTCCAATAAATGGCTGTTTATTTTACCACAATTTATTCGCCCGGTAAATAGTTGTTGCGCCCGTCGAATAGCGTTGCTTCGATCGCGACGAATGCAGAGGAAAATCCATTTACATCGATGAACTTCCCCGTTGCTACGAAGATGGGAATTTGAAGTTCAAAAGAACACTTTTGGCCAGCTTTTTGGGATTTCCGACCCAGCCAACTCCACGCTCGGATGCGCATCGGTGCAAGCCGATTCGAACCGAATCCAGGATGGCCCTCCAGCTCTACGACTCGCTTGTTCTTTTGTCTTGTTCGACCTTAATCCGTACGCGTGTCCCCGTCGTTTTCGATGCTCCTTTTCCCGCTAATATTGGCCCCCGTGCGATTGCATTATCGACGAGGGATTTTGAGCGAATCTCGTTTGGCCAAGGGTCGACCAGGTCTTCTCGAAATTTTTCTAACCGATAAAACCGATTATTCGACGATCGTTGCGGTCTGGGTTACGTTACTCCTCGTTTCTCCTTGTATCATCATGATTAGAATATTCAAATTGCCACGGTATCTGCGAGGCAAAGGTACCTTTCCAGCTCGAACAAGAAGAAACTGAACATTCTTCGGTCTCGCAGAGCCATATTTAATCACCCATTCGAGTGGCTGCTCAAAACGATCGATTTTTGTTTGCTGATGTTCTTCATATTAATGCCAAGTCGTGACAACACTTTACATAAATTAAACGAGGAAAAACGAGACCTACGTCAGGTTATCCGATTGTAACAATTGTTGGGAAGAACTTTGAATTTTCCAGCGAGTTCGGAAGTCTGAAACTGTTATTAGGGGGTCCTGAATAACCAATATCGCGCGGGGGGAACAAATTCTGCGAAGCATTTAAAAGATGTAAGCTTCGCGAGATTAATTGAGGCGTTAACGAGGAGCTTATCACACGTGCCATAAGTTGCCCGCTAACATCTCGGTTAATCTCCCGAAGCTTACATGTTTTAGATGTTCCGCGCAACTTGTTCCCTGGCATAATTGGTTATCCAGGATTTCCTAACAATAGTTTCGGACTCTCGAACCCGCTGAAAATGGAACGACAACAAATTTCCACAGATATACTCGATAAACGTGCATTCAACGTCGTACTTAATTTAATACGTACATCCCGTCCATACGAAGAACGAGTAAATTTTTAATGCCCTGAAAAGCAAAGCATTAACGACTCCTCCATCTTCTAATTTATTCAAGTATTTACGAATAGCGAAACCGCGGATGTATTTTCGTTTTAACGTTGTTTTACAGGCTCTTTTCGTCCTGCTGGCGACGCATGACACTCAATTGAATATTGTACCACGACTCGCGTATGAAATTACCGATGGTTAGTGCCTGGAGTTACCAATAAGAACAGATTGAGCGCAGACATAACACGGTGACTCATCAGCATGATTACATTTAGCAATCAAAGAACGCGGTTGGACACCAATCAGACTCGAGCAATTCGAATCACTCTCGTTCCCAGGGCATCGTCGCAGCTTGACATCAATGTTTATTGTCGTTTGGGAGTATAGAAATTTTGATGAATAACTGAGAGAGAGAGTACTGCCTACTGTGGACCATAACGATATTACGAGATTATTATTACGGGGTTCGAGAAATAAGACCTGGAATTTTTTGTCGAAAACAAATAATCGCGAAAATGTTGAATTATGCACGTGTTCCGTTAAAAAATGTTTAAAGTTATATTCCCAGAGGTTTTAACGCTTTTTGTCCGTTTCAACTGTTATTTACTGTACACTCTATCCTCTTTTAGTGCCTTATTGACGATTCTCGAATAGTAGATGGGGGACTAAAATCCCAGGAGCCATTGCCGTGCGTGCTAGACCGGAAAGTCTAGACTGTAAGGTACGCAGCACACCGAACAGCGGAAGCGTAGAAACCATTTGCGATTTCCGCCAGCTTTCCCATTGTCGGCTGCAAAATCGACTAATTGCACGGGCACTGGGTAAACAATATAATTTTCTCGTGTGATTTTAGAACGCGCTTTACCCATCGTACCGATTCCCTCGTTCGAGCTATCTGTGATCCTCTTCAGCCACGAATGATATTTTTCGGATGCTTCGAGACAGGGATCTTGCAAACGCAAGAAACATTTATTAAATCAGTTAAAAATTCTCTCTTTTGTCGTTTCACTGAAGTTTTAATATTTACATTTACGACTATAAATGCACATGGTGGTATCGAGCTACTCTCGAAAATTAATAATAGTTTATCGCGACGTTCCTCGAAGAGGGCCGTAAGCTTTTATTAACATCCAAGAGTTGCTCGATAGAACCGAACAAGATAGACCATTTGGACGAATATCCACGGACGCACGGAGTAGCGAAACGATTAAAACAAACCTCACTGAGGGAACTTTAGGAAATTTATAGTATAGCTTCTGCACGTTTCAAGGTTGGCTATCACTGCTGGCGGAACTTCGCGTGTCTCGGATGTTTGCCCCCGAGGGGTACGCTCGGTGACACGAAACTTGTCCATACCACTGGGTATGCACAAAGGTCACGTGACTCGCGATCGATAGATGACATCGGTAACGTCAACGCCGACGATCGCTGGTCGAAACGTTCGCGGACAAGTTTTGTGTCGCCAAGTGCACCCCCCCAGGGGGGTAAACACCTACGTTCGTCACGGCACGTCGCCTCGTCCATAGATCCCTGCGTGTCGTTCGAACATCCCTTGACGCTAATGGTCATTCTCTTAACGGCGAACGATACAACGTTTCTCAAGGAAATCAACAACTCTCATTACCTTCTTGAATAGCTTCGAAAACGGCGAACGATCCCGAAACAACTGCCCCGTGGCACGGAACTGACGTTGCCATGGCGATATTCGAAACAGACCTTACGCGAATGTCACGAAGAGCAACAGTGTTTCGCTTCGTGAAGTATTGTTTGGAAACAAGATATCGAAGTACTCCGCGAGCCGTTCCAACAATTTCCCGGGTATACTTCTTTTCTGGGAACCATTTACTTCCGGGGTATCTTCCCTTCCCTTCCAGCGAATTGTAAAATGTGAGGAAGTGTATTGGAGACGATTATGACAAATAGTTATTGACTTCAGAAGATCTGGCGGGGAGTCTTGATAGTATAGATTTCAATTTTTGTGATCAA